AGGCTGAACTGCATAGCAAGACCCTGTCTCAAAAAGACAAAAAAAAAAAAAAAAAAGTTCACCAGGATCCTGATGAACGGAAGTCAAATCAAGGATGCCTCATCCTTTGAAGGAAGCTCCCTCCAGGCCCTTGCAGCAGCTATCTTAATTTGCTCATATACTGGCACTCAAAAGTAAGTTGATTATCTGTAGCAGCAAAGGCACCCTCTCTAGTTAACATGTCTTTTGGAATGGCTATACTATAAGTAGCAGTGCACATGGTCTAATCTGCACACAATTCAAAAAAAATTTCCTTTCCACAACAAATAATCCCCCAGACTTAAACACACTTTAGCATTTTTAAGGAAAGAATTCCCTTCCAATTTTTTGAGGCCATAATCTCTTGCCTTAGGAGCTCTATTAAACCTAGGGTAAAAGGGGGCATGGGACCATAAGTAGTGGCAACTTGTTTGAATTCCTTTAGGGTCTTAAAGGATACAGCTTCATGAAGACGTATAATTTGCTCTGGGTTTTTAGGGGCTCAAAGTTCAATGACAGGGTAGAGATATTGAAAACGCTCCATGGACTCCCCTGCCCATCTGGCTACCTTTAACACCAACTGCAAGGGAGAGAGAGAAAACAGCCACTCCCTGAGGAAAAAAAATTTTCTCTCAGTGCAACAAAACTTCTCTGAGCTGAAAAGGTGGAGATCACTGTGACTCAGCTAAATACATCAGGTGTTGTAAAATAGAACTCACCATGAAACACTCTTCCAGTGAGGAAGGAACCTTTTTGCTCTCCACTACTCCTTCCCTACCTAATTGAACAAAGTCAGAGGGTTTAAACTCTATTGTGGGGGCTACTGTTCTGCCATCTTTTTTCTGCTTAGAACTTGATCTTAAAGTAGTGCTTACAGCCAAATCCTTTGTTGTTCTCTTAACAAATGTATTAACACTCTCTGACAACCATTGAGAATTATTGAATGATTATTCAGTAGGTCACTCATGTATAGTTCTATTTATATTCTTTAGAAGCAACTTTGAAGCTACCTAAGTATAGTACAACAACTATTGATAATCTCCTACCTCTTTTGTCTGTAACTCACTATCATTTGTCTATTTGTTTTCCTGAGAAACTATCTTGTAGATAACAATATGTAAAACAATAACCATTGATAATTTCCTACCACTTTGTCTGTAATTTGGTAAGCCCCCCCTATTATTATGTTATCCTTCTTTTACTTTTTAAAATAAAAAAATTTAAGGTAAAAAAAAAAACACTCTGATGCAAAATCACAAAAGTAAATACAGAAATCAAGAATACAACAAAGAGTTCCATACACATTTGTGGTTCTTAAAAATCTGTTTGCTCCAAGAAACCCAAGCCTAGTGACCCCCAAAGTCTGACTACCCCTGATAAAATCAATACACCTCTCTCCCTTTTGTTTCTCTCAAGCCCATTTTCCTCTTTGGCCCTAATGAGCCTGTTTTTCTCTTTGCCCCAAGTTTTACACTAGATGACATCAGCATCAATATTCCTCTGTGATTATATTGATGCTATCAATGCACTGCTCCCCCTTTGTGCCCACAATGAGAAGTGTCCCCTCACCCACTATTTCTTCTTACCCTGGTCCTGTGTTCAGGTGCCAATATGCTGCGTCCTCAGTGCAGTTCTCAAAATTCCTGGGGAGAAGGACAGCAAGACGATAGAGAAATAAAAATAAGACACAGAAAGCTGAGGTCAGGTGGAGCCCTCTCTCCAGATGGGAGAAAAGGAACTGCTCAACCACCACAATGCATTTATACATTTGTCATGTGACACTCACTATGCTCAGTGTTCCTGCGGCTAGAACACCTGTTCCCTCAGGGTTCCTTGGGTGTTGTGCTGTTAACTCCACACACGTGAATGATCACTAGCTCAGCTGCTCTGAACATCTATGGAGCATTTTCAAGAACTCACCTGCCTCCTCTCTTCGCCTACCTTGTCACTGAGAGATCCTTGGGCACTAAGCAGGCAGAGCAGAGAAAGGAAATGTTATAGGTTGTGTCTAGATGTCTCATGTGGTCTAGGTAGGGCTTCTCAGAGATAGCTGGGTCTAAGGTGTGTAATGCTGGTTTAAGTGTGTGATGCTGGAATTATGGGTGTGTGATTACTAAAATAGTCCACTGATAGGTTTAGCAGAGCTCTGGGCGTGGATAGTGGAAAGGCCACCCTGGGTATGGGTCGCACCACCCAAAGGGCAGGTAGCCCAAAGGAATATGAAGGGACAGAAAGAAGACAGACTTGCTACTGTTTCTTCACTACTTCCATGCTTTGCTGCCTTCTGCCCCCCAGGAACTGTTTCCCCTCTGCCACCAGGTGGTGGATTGACCACTGATGGGCAACTTATAACCCCCAGCTGAACTGAGTAAGTGTGGTGCTGGGTGTGGGAGGCCCACCTGGGGACTGTTGCCAGGAGCATAGGGAGAACTGGAGAAGGAAAAATGGCTGTTGGGAGTGGGGAAAGGCTGTCGGGAGCTGATAGCTGTTGGGAGCTGTTGGTTGTTTTGGAGGAGCTCGTCATGCTGGCTTTCCTGCTGAACTTGGCTGTTTTCATCCTCCAAAGAACTCGGGACCTTGCTGGCACTGAGAATGGCTTTGGTTCACTTTGGGAGAGCTCTGGTCCTCAGTCTGAGCATTGCTTCCTGGCTCCAGAGGGGAAGATGGTGCACTGCAGGTCTCCTGAAGAAGCTTGCTGCGTTGGCTTCCCTGATGAGAACTCGGCCATCTTGATCATCAGAGGAGCTCGGGACCTCACTGTTGATGAGGATGGCTGTGGTACTTTTAGGGGGAGCTCTGGTTCTTCTGAGCGTCACTTCCTGGCTCCAGTGCAGATCCCTCAGCCTGCTAGCACAGATCCTTCATCCCGCTGCCACAGACTTCCTGGATTCCACCACTGACCTTTGGGCCTTCCTAGTGCAGACCCATGAAACAGGCCTGCAGGAGACATTGTTATGGGCTCTGGGCCTCCAGTGGATTCGTGGGAGGCATTTGTGGGACTCAGGCCCTCAGCTGGATTCCTTGGTCTTAGTATGTGGACAGATTTCCTGCACACTTTTGTATATCGTTCTTTGGGTGACTATTAGAATCATATAAAATATGTGTCCTGTATTATATTGTTTCCCCTTGCAAAAATAAGCCCCAACCAACACATACCCTATCCTGTCTTACAGCCAGCCAGCTGTGGACTGAAACCTCTACAAACTGTAACCCAAAAGAAACCTTCCCTCCTTTAACTTGGGTGTTGGGTATTTTGTCTCAGCAACAAGAAAAGTAGCTAAGATAGTGCACGTCCCACCTATCAGCTTCAGCCTCTCACTCTGCCTGCCCTCTACCTAGCTATTCATAAAACCACATATATATCAAGCCCATATCCTCTCCTGTCCGCCTTATGTTTTACCACACCTGCTAACTAGGAGCCCAAGCCTAGTGACCCAAAAAGTCTGACTACCTTATGGCTACATCTGACAAAACATGTGGCTAAAATATTGATGCACGCCTGATTAAAATTCAATTCTGTAAATCACTTTAAAATATACTGTAAATATTACAACATCTAGCATTACAATATCTTGTAATATTACAAGTATAATATCCACTTGTTATAGTTTATATCAAAATTGTTCCACAAAATTCTCGTGTGTGTGGAAGGTGACTGGCTCAATAGATACTATACTTATCAATGGATTTGTGCTTTGATGAGTTCTGCAGCTAAGGGTGATGTTAGGAGTGGGACCTGTTTGGAAGAGAGGCCCTGTGGGTGTGACCCCAGGGGTATATTCTTGTCCCTACCTCTTTCTCTTTTTTCTTTGCTTCCTACTTGCCATGAGTTGAGCACTTTTTTCTCTGCAGCCTTATCACCATTGGTTATTGGGTTTTTGTGATAAGTCATTCTATGTGGATTAAGATAGAAGCTCAGCGTTGCTTTCATTGGTTGTATAATGGTCAGAGATTTTGCACATTTTTTGTGTTTTTATTAACCATTTTCACTTTGTTTTCTGAGACATGTCTTTTCATTTCAGTTGCCCCTCTTGCTCCGCCACCACCTCTACTTCTTCTTCCTCTTCCTCCTCCCCCTCCTCTTCCTCCTCTTTTTTGAGACAGGGTCTCACTATGCAGTTCAGGCTGGCCTTGAACACACTATGTAGCTCAGGCTGGCCTTGGATTTGTGGCAAACCTCTTGCTGCAGCCCGGAATGCTGGGACGGCAGGTGCACACCACCACACCTGACACCTCAGTGTAGTCTGGAAGCAAAGCAACTGTGTTGTCACAGAGAGAAGGAAAAACTGCCTCCTCCAGAAAATTAGAGCCTACGTTGGAGAAAGTGACCTCAGTGTGTGAGGGACCACAGTGTGTGACTGGGTCCTTTATTGGGGGGCTCTAATATTTTTAGTTCTTTATATATTCTAAACATTAGTCCTCTGAGGAATAGCTGGCAAAAACTGTTTCCCAATCTATAGGTTGTCTCTTCACTCTGCTTCCTTTGCAATGCAGTTTTTAATTTTATATAATCCCATTTGCTGATTCTTCACACTTTCTTGTGCAACAGTGTTCTTTTTTTTTTATTTTAAAGAGTAAAAGAAGGATAACATAATAATAGGGGGGCTTACCAAATTACAGACAGAGTGGTAGGAAATTATCAGTGGTTGTTGTTTTACATATTGTTATCTACAAGATAATTTCTCAGGAAAACAAACAGACAAATAATAGTGAGTTACAGACAGAAGAGGTAGGAGATTATCAATAGTTGTTGTACTCTACTTAGGTATCTTCAAAGTGGCTTCTAAAGAAAATAAACAGAGCTATACATGAGTAACCTATTGAATAATCATTAACTATTCTCAATGATTGTTGTAGGAAACACATAATAATAAACATACGTCCACTTACAAAATAGGATAGGAACAATACAAACATTACCGAGTTATGGACAGATTAGTAGGAAAATAACAATGGCTGCTGTAATACATGGTGGTATCTTCAAAGTGGTTTCTCAAGAAGAGTGTTCTGTTTAGAAAGTCCTCACCTGTGCCTCTGTCTTTAAGAGTTTTACCTATATTATCTCCCAGAAGATTGCTTCCGTTCGAGTATTTAGATCTTTGATCTATTTTGATTTTAGTTCAGTACATGGCCAGTTTCCCCCACACCCTTTGCTAAAGTTTCTATCTTTCCTCCAGTGAATGTTTTTGGCCCCTTTGTTAAACGTCAGACAGCTAAATGTGCTGAGGGTTGTTTCTGCACCCTCTGTTCTGTTCCTTTAATCTGTATGACTTTTAATGAGAGTGCAATGATGTTTTTACCACTGCAGTTTCGCAATACAACTTGAAATTGTAGACTGCAATGCTTCCTGCTTTGCTCTTGTTGCCTAGTACTGCTGTTGCTATTCTGGGTCCCTTCAGGTTCCTTCTAAATTTTAGGATTGTTTTCTCCAGTTCTCTGAGGAATGCTATTGCTCTTTTCGTTTGTATTGCATGAAGTTCATATATCACTTTTGGTAGTGTGGTCATTTTGATAACATTGGTTCTGTCTATCCAGGAAAAGGGATGTCTTTCCATTTTCTGATGTCCTCTTCAATCTCCTTTTTCAGAGTACCACAGTTTTGCTGTTTATTTTAAAGACAATAAAAAATTTTTAAAAACATTAAAAATGATACAGAAGTTGAAAACAAGATGATGAGAAATTAACAATGGTTGTTACATGCATATTGTTATCTTCAAACTAGTTGTTCAGATTACCAGATACAGGCATACAAAATTTATCAAAAAATTAAGCATTAACTATTCCTTTCAATAAACCACTAGAAATTAGTAGTACAATTATCTTAGCTATCTTGTGTATATATATTTTTCCCTTCTTTCTCTTCTCCTTTCCCTTATCCCAGTTGTTCTTTCCTTTTGAGCAGTTTTTTTTTTTCCTTTTCACAGTATCTATTGTACCTTTCAGATTTTATTTACTCTTTCAAGTTCTTACACTAGGGAGACAATACGATGTTTACACATGCGGGTCTGATTTATTTCACTTATGAGTATGGTCTCTAGCTGCATCCACTTACCTATAAAAGCCTCAAGTCTATCTTTCTTTATTGCTAAGTAATATTCCATTGTATAAAAATGTCACATGTTCTTTATCACACATCTTTATCCACTCCTCAGTTGATGGGCATTTGGGTTGTTTCCACGATTTACCTATGATAAATGGCACTGCTATAAACATGGGTGCACACATATCACTGTGGTATGGTGTTTTCAATTCTTCTGGAAAAATACCCAGAAGGGAAATAGCTGGGTCAAATGGGACCTCTAATCCTAGTTTTGTGAGGAATCTCCACACTGATTTCCACAGTGATTGTACCAATCTACACTCCCACCAACAGTGGAGAAGGGTTCTTTTTTCCCCACAGCCCTGCCAGCATTTGTTATTGGACGATTTCTTGATGATAGCCATTATTTCTGGGGTGAGATGGAATCTCAGGTATTATTTTAATTTGCATTGCTCAAATGACCAATGCTGTTGAACATTTCTCATATATATTTATTTGCAATTTGCATTTCTTCATCTGAGAAGTGTGTATTCATCCCAGATGCCCATTTTTGAATTGGGTCTTTAAATTTTGGGGGTCTGATTTTTTTTAATTCTTTATATGTTCTAGATAGAAGTCCTTTGTCTGACTAAGAGTTGGCTAAAAAATTTTCCCAATTCGTGGGTTTTCTTTTTACTCTGTTGGTGATTTTTTTTTTTTTTTTTTGTATTTTTGAGACAGGGTCTCACTATGCAGTTCAGGCTGGTCTTGAACTCACTTTTGTAGCCCAAGCTGGCCTCAAACTCACAGTAATTCTCCTGCTTCAGCCTCCCTCCTGAGTGCTGGAATTATAGGCATGCAACACCACACTGGTGATTTCCTTTGATGTGCAAAAACTTTTCAATAAAATGAGATCCCAGTTGTTGATTCTTTGAAGAATTTCCCATGCAATTTGGTTTCTATTCATGAATTCTCTACATACCCCTATGTCTTCAAATTTTCTACCTACTTTCTCTTCCAGTTGATTTAGTGTTTCTATTTTAATATTTAGATCTTTGATCCATTTTGACTTTAGTTCAGTCCATGGTGATAGACATGGGTCTAGTTTTAATCTTTGGCATGTGGAGAGCCAATTTTTCCAGCACCATTTATTAAAGAGGCTATCTTTCTTCCAGGGAACATGTTTGGCCCCTTTGTCAAAGATAAGGTGGCTGAGTGTGTTTGTAGTTGTAACTGCATCTTCCAGTCTGTTCCATTGATCCTCAGGTCTGCTTTTTGGCCAGTACCATGCTGATTTTATCAGAGTACTGCAGTTTTCACTATAGAGGTCTTTCACTTCCTTGGTTAGATTAATCCCTAAGTATTTAATTTCTTTGATGCTATTGTAAATGATGTTGTTTTCATTTCTCTCTTGGAGAGTTCATTATTAGTACAGGAACACTTCTGATTTTTGTGTCTTAATTTTGTGCCCTACTAATAGCTGAATCTACTTACAAAGTTCCAGGAGAATTTGGGTGGAATTTCTGAGTGCTTCATGTAAAGGACTGCAAATAAGGACAACTTGTGATCCTCCTTTCGGCACCTATCCCTTTTATTTCTCTTGCCTAATTTACCTGGCTAATGTCTCTAGTACTATATTAAACAAGAGTGCTAATAGTGGACAGAGGTGTCTTATTTCTGATTTTTTTTTTGGCTTTTTGAGACACAGTCTTGCTACACAGTTCAGGCTGGCCTTGAGCTCACTTTGTAGCCCAGGCTGAGGGCCAGGGATGTAGCTCACCGGCACAAGTGCCTGCGTGAGAAGCACAAGGTCCTGAGTTCGATTCCCAGTGCCAAAAAAAAAAAAAAATGTAGCGCAGACTGATCTTGTACTCACAACAATCCTCCTGCCTCAGCCTCCTGAGTGCTGAGATTACAGGCATGCACCACCATGCCCAGCTTCTTTTGATTTTAAAAGGAAAGCTTTCCCGGTACCAGAGAAAAACCAAAAAAATAAAAAATAAAAAAT